GGCGGAGGCGGAGACGGCGGCGGAGACGGAGACGGAGACGGCGGCGGCGGCGGCGGCCGCGCTCTCCCGCCACCGCATCGACACCATCGCCGAGCTCCTGCGCATCGTCTCGCCTCTGTTTGTGCCGGCCTCGGCCCCGGGGGCCGGGTTGGCGGGCTCGCGCGCCGCCGCCGGACGCACGGCGCTGCACATCCCCGTGGTGGCGCTCCTCATCCACCTGGAGGCCGTCGACTTCGCCGCCGCCGCCCACCGCTACGAGAGCGCGACGGACGTCTGCAGCAGTTTGCTCACAAGCCTCGACGTGCACACGCAGCTCAGCTGCCTCACACAGATGATGCACCTACTTATTGATCCGCACCGGCAGCTTTCCGTCGCAGCGACGCAGCAGCAGCAGCAGCAGCAGCCGCGGAGGCGGAGGCGGAGGAGGACGCCGTCGTGAAACTGTTTCGCAAGCTGGTGAAGCCGAACCAAGTTGTCAACCGCCAGGAGATGATTTTGAACCTCATCAACACCACCGTGAAGTCTGAGGCCTTCCTCGGCGGCTTTCTCGAGCTGCAGCACCACCAGCACACCCCGCACGGTGGCTCGCATGCAACGCCGGACAACGAAGAGGAGGCAGGGGCGGAGGAGCAGGCGACCGCGGCAGGGGCGCGCACCAATGACGCGTGCATGGCGATGCTAGTCGCCGCCCTGGAGCTCTTTGCGCACTACGCGGAGCTTAACGCCGCCACCGCGAATGACGCGGCGGTGCCCGCCTCGGCGCAACGGCAGAAGGAGAAGGGGACGCAGGAAGTGTTGCCCGTGTACGGTGAAAACAAGGCTTTCACGATGCTGCTGGAGCTCCTCGCCGGTAACACGCTGGCTTGTGTCCTCGCAGGCATCAATGAACCGACCTTCGTGGCGTGCCTTGAGCGGCTTCTGACCGACCCACGTGCTGCGCTGCAGCAGAAGGGGCTGGAGGTGCTGTTGGACCGCCTACATCACGCCTTGCCGACGGTGGAGAGCACGCTCAGTGCGGCGGAACTGGAGGAGCACCGAGAACGGCTGCGTGACCCGAAGCGCAAACTTACCCTGATGGACCTCGTCCGCGTGAAGGCTCGCCCGCTGGCAACAAAGCGCTCGTTTGCGCTTTTTCCGCACCTCTCGTCCCTGATGCAGGCGTCTGTGCGGTGCGCCACAGCCCAGTCCAGTGGGTCGGATCTTGTGCATCTACTTCCACTCACTGTGGGCTGCATGGAGGAGCTCGTGCGCATTATCGGCAGCGGTGGAAGCCTGCAGGCGGAGAAGACGCTGCTCAACGTGCACCGCGCGAATCGTGTGACGGAGGCGGTGCTTTCGAAGCTGTTTGGAAACAAGGCCCGTGTTCAGGGGGTGCATCAGTGGGTGGAGGATATTCTCACCGCGGTGCCGCTCCTGCTTTCCCACGCCGGGAGCAGCGGAGACGCCGCCGAGAGAGGCGGCACCGCCGGCGGTGGAGCATTGGCTGCCTCGCGAGAGGAGAATGCGCTGCTTGCCGCCGCCGGACTCTTGACGGCGCTTGGGACGGTCTGCCAGGTGATGGGAACCGCCTTCACTACGCCGCACAGCAACAACATTCTCCGGGCGGTGGTGGAGGCGGCCGTGTTTGCCGTGGTGCAGGTCGCCCCGGTTGTGTCCCGCGGGGAGCTGGGGTCGCTGCTACGCCAGGCCTCGCTTGGGTGTTTGCTGCGCGTCTTTCCCTCGTGCTGGCTGATGTGTCAGCCGTATCTTGCACGCATCATTTTTGTGGCGACGCACCTGCACAACGTCGACGACGCGGAGACGAATTATCGCAGCGCGGAGGTGCTGGCGATGCTGGAGGCGGTGCTGGAGCCACGCCTGTTTATTGAGGCCTGCACGGAGTGCCTGCGTGGCGTGGCGTGGGGCCCAGCGGACGACGCACGGCGGCCCCTGCGGATGCGTGTTGACTCACACTCGTTTGCGCTGCTCTACGCCAGCGTGCGGCGGCGCGTGGAGGGCCTCAAGCGGGAGGAACTCATGCATCTCAGCGAACTTGTTGAGGGGGCGACGCCGAAGGACAATTTCTGGATCGCCTCTCTTCACGCACTGGCCGCCGCGCCGACCCTGCCGTCCCGGGACATTGTGCAGCCGGTGCTGGAGGCCTACCTGGTCTTCTTCCTCAAGTTCAAGGCAAAGCAGTGCGCTCGGTACCTCTCGACCGTGGCGGGGTGGGCCTTTGGCGGCGCCGCGGAGACCTTCCTGAAGCGCGTAGAGCAACAGCGGCGCGACGGTGCGGTGGAGTCTGAGGAGACGCATGCGAGGGATGACGCGGCGCTGGTGCCCCGCATCACCGTCCACGGCTGGGTGCTCTTCTACGCGCTCTGCAACCACCTGCTGGAGAAGTTGGGGTCCATCATGGACTTTGGCTTTCCTGTGCTGCTGCCGTACATTGTTGGGACGCTCACGGGCTACTGCTCCGCCGCGCAGCACGCCATGCGGCACGCGGCGGGCCTCATCGCGCTGACGCTGGAAGGCGCCCTCGACAGCGTGCGACGCATGGCGCTGGCGCAGACGCCCGGGCCCGACCACGACCACGGCGTGCCCGTCGACAACTACCTGGAGAGGCCGGAGGTGTTCGCCTCCGTCATGCCGGCGGTGGTGCGGCAGCTGTCGAACCTCTCCTACCTGGCGGACGCCACACACGACTACGCGTTTCGCGCGGAGCACCACGTGATCCCGGCCGTGCGGGCCCTCTTTCAGTCCCTCACCTCCTCCAAGCTGCAGAGCCGGACGCAGAACGAGCTGCTGAAGGCGCTGCGCCACCCGAGCCGCCACGTGCGGCGCCTGACGCTGCTGTGCTTCGACGGCATCTACGCCGACGGCGGGGACGAGTTGGCGTCGCGACTGATGGCGGAGATGTTGCCGGCCGTCGTGGAGCTCACGGAGGACCGCGACGACGCGGTGGTGGAGCAGGCGCGGACGCTCTGCAACAAACTCTCGGCGATCACCGGGCAGGACGTGCTGTACGCGATGAGCGCGTAGCGGCCGCAGGGGCCCCTGGCGCGTGGCCCAAAGTAGTGGGGCGCGCAGGCGCCGCGGGTGGGGGACAACGCAACAACACAACACCAACAACGAGGCGGCGGTGGCGGCGGGAAGGAAGAAGAGGAGGGTAAACGAAGAGAAGGAAGTGAAGGTCGCAATAACAGTGATAATAAAAGGAAAAAGTGGAAATAACAAGGAAGAAAAAAAAAACAACAACAACAAAACAAAACAAAATAAAAAAGGAAGCAGAGGATGAAGTACAGTCATTTCTGCTTCCTTGCTTCTCTCCCCCTCACCCCAGCGACAAATAGGAGAAGTTGCACGCACGGATGATAAGACGACCGGTTAAGCAACTTCCCCATTCGCCTCCTCACGCCGCTGCTGCTGCTCCAGCTGTGTTTTTTTTTGTGTATTTTTCTTGGGTCGTCCACCACGCCCCAATCTCTCTCTTTACGTGCCTGCTTTCACAGCTGGTACAAGGAGCTTGGCAGTGGATGGTTGCGCAGCGGCCGCGCCCCAGCGGTGTGCCCGCGCCGGTGGAAGTCATCCCGCCCTTGCGTGTCTGGCGCTACACGACCCCAACGCCGACGGGAGGCGTTGTGCTGCTCGTCGACGCCGGCGGTGCGGTGCGGCTCTGCAACTGGACGGACTGCGAAAACGACGCGGTCCTCCGACTGCGGCGGGCTTACCAGCCGCGGGAGCTCGTGATTGTGGACGCCGCAGAGACGGCACAAAAGGAGGAGGACGGCGACGAAGTGACAGGCGACGCCCGTGCGCACGCGGTGCGGCAGCTGCGGCGGTACTTCAGTTGCTCCCCGCCCCCCAAGAGCGAGGCGGCGGCGGCGGCGGCCTCCGTGTCTATTTGCCAGCAAACACTGCACGCACTCCTCGGCGGCGTGACCGTGCAGTGCCCCCCATCGACGCCGTTCATGCAGGCTGCGTGGGCAGCACTTCGTGAGGTGCGGCCGGGAGAGACCACGACGTACGGCGCCCTTGCGAGGCGGTGTCGGCGGCCAAACGCCAGCCGGGCGGTGGGGCGGGCGATGCGCGAGAATCACGTGTGCCTCTTTTTGCCCTGCCACCGCGTCGTTGGGGTGTCGCGGGCGTTGACGGGGTTTGGCGCTGGGCTCTGGCGCAAGGCGTGGCTGCTGCGGCATGAGCAGGCCGCAATTCCGGCCAGGCTGCTTCAGCGCGTGGAGTCCGTGCAGACGACCTCCCTCAAGCGTAAAAGGGAGGGCGATAGCGAATGAAAGGCGGAAAAGGAAACGAAAGGAAAAGAAAATAAAAAGGGAACTACCTGCCTTGCAGCCTGCGTTTGTTTTTGTTTTGCTTTTCTCTCAGCCACCTTTTTTTTTCTCTTTTTTTTTAATTTCTCTCCCGCCTTTTTTTTCCCCTCCTCTCCGGCTGCCGCCGCCGCCGCCGCCGCCCTCGTTGCCTCGTGGCAGTGTGTTTTGCCGGGCGGATGGACGGCAGCGACGAGGCGGCCGCGGCGTCACGCCCCCCGTCGCCCCCTGCGAAGCGGCGGCGCGGCGAGCGGGTTGTCTCGCTGCAGTGCCCGTACTGCCCGCGCGTCGTCACCGGCGTCCCGAGCAGGAGCATCCGCACCAACTACAACCGCCACCTCCTCACGCACACGAAGGAGCGGCCGTACCAGTGCGAGTTCTGCCTCGCGCAGTTCACCACCAGCACAAACCGACGCAGGCACGTGCTGCGGCTTCACCCGGAGTTGCTCGCGACGTGGTCCACCACCGCCGCCGCCGCCGCGTCGTCGCAGCCGGAGACGCCCGTGAGCGTGGGTGGCGCGAACTCCAAGTCGGAGGCGGATGCCGCTGCCGGGGCCGAGGCAGAGGCCACCTCGGAGGCCGTCGGCTTTGCCTGCCGCTTCTGCGCTGCGGCGTTTACGTGCAAAGGCTCCCGCACACTTCATGAGCGTCGTTGCCCCGCACGGCCGTATCCGCCGCGGGTGCTCGCCACGAGTTCCTCCCCGACGCCTTCGCCCTCTACTTTAGCAGCACCCACCGGAGAGCAGGCGGGCGACCCGGCCGACACAGTCTTCCTCTGCCCCAACTGCGAACAGGAGCTCTCGAGTCGGCAGCAAGTCAAACGCCACTTGCGTTGCTACTGCCCCTTTCGCGACGACGCCTTTGCCTCCTACAGCGACGACGGCGAAGACGACGACGGCGACGGCGACGGGCGGGCGGGGGGGCAGCCTGGACGGCCGTCAAGGACCAAGCGCAGCCGGCGCATCCTTCAGAAGCGCGGCGCCGGCTCCGCGGAGCACTCGAGCGGACAACCGCGACACGACGGGGCGCATGCGTACGCGGTGGCGGTGCTGTCTGCCACCCCTGGCCGCTCGCAGACTGCCACGACAGTCATTTGCCCGTATGACGACTGCATGTCTACCTTCGCCTCGCGCACACGCTGGCTGGCGCACGTCGCGCGGCGTCACCCGCATGAACTAGTGCCGGAAATTTGACGGGCGAATTGCCCGTGCCACGGAACGTCTTCTCGTTTCTTGTTTTCCTCCTCCGCCTTCTCCGCTTTCTCCACTTTCGTTCCGAGGGGCCCTCCTCCTCCTCCTCGCTGTGCCTGCGGCGGATTCGTCGTCATCGTAGAGGGCCGGTGAGGGAGGGGCGCAACGGCACGTCGGCGGCGGGCGACAACGAGTGGGCGAAGGGAGCGAGCATGGGCGCCGCGGGAATGGATTCCCCGCTAACTGCCTCCTCCTACTTTCTACTCTCTCTTTTAAACTAAACCGTGCGCTCTTTCTTGACATTTCTCCTCCTCCGCTTGTCAGTGTTGTTGGTGTTTGTGGTGGTGGCGGTGGTCTTTGTATTTTTTTTTTCTGCCTGTGCTTCCCGGCGCCCTGCAGCGAGGCGCATTCGCGCCCATCGACCGCAGCGTCATCGCCCCCACCCTGTGGACGCGCCAGCGCGGGGGAGGCGGCGGCGTGCGCACGCGTGTACGGGTGCGCCTCCCTCCCTCCCTCCCGCTTTACCTCCTCCTACGCAATTTATTGTTTTCGTCCGTTGCCACCCTTTGAGTTTCTTGCACGTTTGTGTTTTTCTGTTTTTTCCTTTTTTTTTGTTGTTGTTGGTGTGGTTCTTTTGCGTAGCACCGTCAACAGCTAGCGCCCAGCACTCACCACCACCCACCACCAGTTGCCGCAGCAGCAGCAGCAGCAGCAGCAGCAGCAGCAGCAGCAGCAACAGCAGCAGCAGC